TCTCTCTCTCTCTCTCTCTCTCTCTCTCTCTCTCTCTCTCTCTCTCTCTCACGCGCACACACACAGTGGAGCTTGCCTATTTGTCTGTGGCTCTTAGCCATCAACTCTCTCATGAGAAGAATGCCCGACTCTAGTTAAAAGAATTCAACAATTTAGACGAGTTGATGTTACATGCTCATCAAAACCTGTGACCCCCTCAATATACAAAGGTGTAGGAAATTGAACTTCAAATACTTCGATGCAATAAAGCTTATGAAGCCGCAATTTTAGACACCAACACTTTTAACATGCATTCAAAGTCTAATGTGAGATGTTTAATATTAAGTTTTAAAATAATCCTAAACTTAGACATTGTGATTTTAGAATCCTCAACAATATCAAAATGCAACTCTTCAAATTTCTTAATCATTCAATCAAAATTTCAAACTCTTGTCATAAAATATTGAAAGCATCAAGTAGATGAATATGATAAGATAAAAGGCAAATCATTTTATTTTAACAATAAATTTATCTCAAACAAAGTGGTGGTACATTCTAGTCTCGAGCTTTAGCTTACTCAATCAATTTTAATTTTGTATAGTTTTTTTATTGCTCTTTAGACATTATTTGCCACTATAGATAATATCCATGTCCATTATCCAATCAAAAAAGACAAATGGATCTATCCTTCCATCAAAAGTAGAAGCTTCAATTTTAAACCTCTAGTTATGTCATCAATTATATCAAAATTTTGATATTGATAACTTCTACAAACTTCATTATCATAAACCCTATAACATCTATCTTGATTATTTCCGTCGTGATAAATTCTCTCATCTCCTACCTGTATTAAAATTCAAATGAATAAGTTCATCATTATAATTAGATTCAACTTCAAGTTCATGTACATGAACTTCAATGGGTTTTCAAATTTTGAATTAGTTCCTTACATATTTGATTTTGCTTATTTAATAATTCAATCAATTAATATTGTAAAGGTGTGAAAATTGCCCTTCAATGATTTATTAAGTTACTATCATAATGAGCCCTCCCTTTGAGTAATATGTTATCATAACCTAAAGATCTAATACTAAATCGGAACGAGATGTTGGTTCCGAATGCAATGAAAATGATACAAGGGATTAAGATCACCAAAACAAAAAAAAAAAACAAAAAACTAGGATTACCAGACCAAAGGTTACTAAATTAACAAACAATTCAGTTTGTTTAAATGCTAACACCAAAATATGTGAAAGGCAAACCAAAATGATAATAAAACTATCGAATAATTTGAGAAAATAATGAGAGATTTGAAGCAAAAATCTATTAAGTAAATGATATTTTTTTGCCAAAATTAAAAATAAGCTGTGATAAATTTGATCAAAATGATAACCCTTGCAATACAAATAATAAATTTTAGAAAAATAAAAAGATTAAAGAAAGAAGTCACCAAAGTCATGAAAATCTAGGCCTCATGCTGGATCTAGGAGATATATTCCTTTAACTTACTTTGATAAACATTTTGCTGTTTCTGACATTTTCCAACCAGAAGTCTTAGCCTCAACAGTTTTTCTTTTCCATTCTATAATATTTGTTGAACGCTTATCAGAACCTCTGGCAATTTGTTTCTTGGTCCACCTTGTCACTGTTACTTGATCATCAACCTGAACATCCCTGACCTCCAGCTTTGGGAAATGGCTCTCCAGCTCTTCTATGGTATTCACCAATATAGGAGAGGGCAAGTACGAAGGCTCATGCTTGGGAGAAGATTGAGAGCTCCCCTCGGGACTCATCTGTGTTGCTACATCCTTCGTCAAAACTAACATAGCAGAGTTGGTACCCTCCTTGATGCATTCAAACTTTTCATCTAAATAAAATTAGCACACGATAAACTATTTAGAGAAGAGTGGATATGCTAAAATATAATATCAACACGGGATTGAAAAGAAGCATGCACATCCTATATACAAATAATGAAAAGTCAAATTATTCACTGAGCAAGAGTATATCACATAGACGGGTAAGAAATGTCAACTATAATTAATATCTCACAATATGTGAGTTATCATTTGGCATACTTTGTATTTATAAACAAAAAAATGAATTTCTACACAAGTAGAGCTCTGTCACTACCCATAACACAGTATTCTACACGTTGATCTGCATGAAGATCATTTGGCTCAGCCCAATATGAAAATAAAAGTCAACAATGGGATCAGACACAGCAAATATTGCTGTCTAATAAATGTTTATCCAATGAAATTCACTTACCCTTGTAGTCCTTTCCTAAAGGCCACCCAAGGATTTCATATATGTAGGGGCATAAGCAAGCAAAGCTTGAGCGAACTTTTAGCCTGTGCTCGATTTATGCTCAATAGGTCCAAAAACCTTATGCCCAATTTCGGTTCACTTTATGCTCAATAGGCTCATTTGCAGCTCAAATTATATTAAATTCAAACAATTAAACCTTTATATGAGCAGCGCTTAGATCTCAGCAATTGGATTAAAATACAATGGATGAAATATAAGAATGACATCATAACTTATGCCAATTTTCAGTTCACTTTGAGCTTGATAGGCTCATTTTTAGCTCAAATTATATTAAATTTAAAAATTTTACCTTTATATGAGCAGTGCTTAGATCTTGGTGTTTGTATTAAAATCCAATGGATGAATATATATATATATATATAGCTATTAATGAGCTAACACAATCGAATATTGGTGTGGAAACCTGCAAGTAAGGAGAGAAACTAAACAGAGAAGAGGAGAATAGTTAGAAGAACAGGGAGTCTGAGCAGATAAGCAATCCAGAGAGAGGAAGAGGAGTAAGAGGAAAATCCGTTCTTCGGGAATACTATATCAGTAAAATCAACTAACTCGCCTCCAGTGAGGTATATCCCTATATATACTAAGAAGAAAGCTGACTAGGAAAAAGGTGTAAACGTAATGATGCTAAAAGTCTGCAAGAATAACAGAAAAGGTAAAAGAACTAGTGGAGGCTGCAGCGGACGTGGCTAGGAATAATGGGACTAGGAATAGTCATCACATCAGATCTCCCCCTCTGTAAGAGATTCCTCGCCTGAGGAATTAATTTGGGCGATACCCGTGTCTGCTGATTTATAAGCTATGATGTCTGCTACATTGAAAGTTGCAGGAGTTAGAAAACCAGGAGGTAAGTCGACGACGTAAGCATTATTATTGATGCGCTGCAGGATGGGTACTGGTCCAATTCGCCGTGGACTCAATTTGGAATAAGTCCCAGGTTGGAACCTTTCTTTGCGCAAACGGACCATGACCAGCTCGCCGGGTTCGAAAATCTGCTCCCTCCTATGCTGATCGGCGTGTGCCTTGTACTCTGCATTTGATACCGAGAGTTTGGCCTTCACGTCCTCCAGCATCTTGACATATTGTTCGGTGGTGTCGGCAGCCGCCTTGCTCCTGCATTTTGGTAAAATAGCAATATCGACGACATGATTAGGAATTTTAGTGTATACTATGCTAAACGGGCATTGGCCGGTAGATCGGTTGCTCATAGAGTTGTAAGCGAATTCGGCCTGCCCCAAGTAATCGTCCCACTGTTTTGGGTGCTCATGAGCAATGCACCTCAACATACTTCCCAAAGATCGATTGACGACTTCCGTCTGGCCGTCAGTTTGAGGGTGGTATGCTGAACTCAGCTTAATTTCAGTCTGTAGCCGTTTCCAAAGTTCTCGCCAGAAGTGACTGATAAACTTCACATCTCTGTCGGATGTGATGCTACGGGGTAATCCGTGAAGGCGGACTAGGAAAAAGGTGTAAACGTAATGATGCTAAAAGTCTGCAAGAATAACAGAAAAGGTAAAAGAACTAGTGGAGGCTGCAGCGGACGTGGCTAGGAATAATGGGACTAGGAATAGTCATCACATCAGATAGAAGAACAGGGAGTCTGAGCAGATAAGCAATCCAGAGAGAGGATTGCTTATAATCCACAGGTCCCAGGATCGAAACCTGGCTCTGATACCAATTTGGTGTGGAAACCTGCAAGTAAGGAGAGAAACTAAACAGAGAAGAGGAGAATAGTTAGAAGAACAGGGAGTCTGAGCAGATAAGCAATCCAGAGAGAGGAAGAGGAGTAAGAGGAAAACCCGTTCTTCGGGAATACTATATCAGTAAAATCAACTAACTCGCCTCCAGTGAGGTATATCCCTATATATACTAAGAAGAAAGCTGACTAGGAAAAAGGTGTAAACGTAATGATGCTAAAAGTCTGCAAGAATAACAGAAAAGGTAAAAGAACTAGTGGAGGCTGCAACGGACGTGGCTAGGAATAATGGGACTAGGAATAGTCATCACATCAAATATAGCTCTGCTTCTAGCTTAATAAGAAAATGAGTTAAAAATAGTTGCTCTAGCTTGTCAAGCTTACTGAAAATCAAGTTAATCACAAGTTGTTAGTGAAAAACAATATTTATTGTCAGCCTTACATATAAAAAATGCTAGTTTTTGTATGGAATGTTATTTCCTCGATAGAACTAGTTGTGCTATTGCCTCGAACTTCAATACCATTGGTCGAGCTCACCAGGGGGGTTGCAGGGGTCCTCCCCCTTCTTGGGTTTGAGTGTTGGGGCACTATATAGTCTACTAGTTAGAGATAAATAGAGAGTAGAGCATCGCAACACTCTAGAACCCGATGCTGCTAATCAAGATAAAGACAGAGAGCCTAGTACTGCAAGTCAGGTGGAGCAATTTTCTTTCTCGTTTTTCCTGTTTAACTTGAAGGGTTGAATCCCATGGAGGTTTTATGTCTCTTTGCTAGTTCTGAGTGAGACGGAAAGAGATCTAAACAAATTTCTCCCAATTTTCGTAGTAGATTTCTTAGTGTTGTATGGCTCCATAGTTTTTTTTTCTGATTTGAGATTTTTACATTAAATTCTAGTGTTCTTTCTTTTCTGCTACATTTTCCTTTTATTGTTTGTTTCGCTGTGTGGTTCTACTTTCCCAACAAAAAATGGATTAATTTGAGGTAATAAATAGATTAGACCTATTGGACCTTAATAGAAATAAATTAAGAAGTAGCACTAGGGAGTAAATTTGTTGGTTGATGTTCTATTAAATGATCATCGGAGTTATTATTGTGCATATTTATTGTTGTTGGGATCAACAACCTACAATGAATGCTTATAGTATGTTACTCTCTGTTAGGTATCAACATGTTAGTTTTGTGTGGAATCTGATTGTGTCAATTCAATTGAGTTATATTGTTGCCTCGGATCTCAATTCCATTGGTTGAGCTAGCCGAGGGGTTGCAAGGGATCCTCCCTCTGCTTCAATTTGGGTGCTTTGCACCAAAAAAATTTCTTCCATACAACTATAACTATTGCGGTGCTGTGTACCCAAGTTCTACGACTCTGTATTGTCTAGTTGGAGGCAGGAGACAGAGAATTAAGCAATGCGGTGCTCCAAAACCCGACATCGCAGCACTCTAGATCCCAGTACTACAGCGCCATCAGACAGCCTAGAGACAGATAATGGAGTGTAGCGGCACTCCAAACCTGACGCCACGACACTGCAATGCTGGCTAGATAGTTTTCTTTCTCGTTTTTCATGAATGGTTACATCCCTAGGTGATTTTATTGTATTTTTATTTGTTAGTTTTCATGATGGTGCAAGGAAAACTAACAAGGAGAGAGTGAGAGAAAAGAGATCTGTGCTATTTGTCCTAAATTTTCATAGTGAATTTCTTAGTGTGGTGTGGCTCTATGGATTTTTTCCCGATTTCGGGCTTTTCCACGTTAAATTCTGATATTTTTTTTCTTTCCGCTACAATTTTCTATTTCTTGTTATTTCGCTGTGTGGTTTACTTCCCCAACACTACATTAAGCACATAGGGAATTCTCTATGTTAGTTTAAATACATTATGGTAACTTTGGAGTATTCAAGAGATGCAAAGCATTTGGTCTTAATATATCCTGCAGAATTGAAGTTTGATTAAACAGTAGAATCGAAGCATCAAAGATGCCCATTTATTTTCTACCTACTCATGAAAACATCTGAAGATAGTCTCTATAGTCAACTAGCAAATGTTGGAAGCTATGATGTTCAACTTTCAGTGATGGAAAATACAATAATCCATCAATAAGTCAGTAAATACTCAAGACTAATTTTCAGGGTCAAGGTAAAAACAAGGATTTTCCAAAAATGACAGTCATTGCAATAAAACAAATCCATATAATAACATGAAGAAGCTAAAAGTATTATCATCATTAACCTTATCACAATTATTTTTTCAACATTTTAAATCACAAGTCTGAAATTATAAGCAATACTAAAAAATAAATAGAGATTACAAAAACTAACGGATCTCTTGTGAAGCAAATCAATCATATTATTAGAATCTTGCTTAGCATGATAATGAACTAAAAATACTATCGAAATGAGGAAAAGCTAGAAACTCAGACATTACTCTGAGGGTTTGGTAAGGATGAAGCTGATTCGAGTAAATTTTCAGAGCACCCATGAATGCTTGCAGATCTCAAAATGTAAGGTTCAGCATTTGCTGAAGATGACCTCGCACTTTCTCCACTGCCAACGCCACCTCTTCTGTTGTCAGAAAATCCACGATCTGCAATCAGAACTCCGGCCGAAAAAGGTGAGCTACCAGTAAAGGTTCCAACCCTTCCACTATCGAAGCACGGAGCAATTGGTGAAGCTGGTGAGTATCCAGGAGGTCCAAGGGGACCACTTTTGGACTTGGGACGTCTATGATGAGAGGAAGGGAGAGACGATCGGAAAACTCCATCAGTGGAAACAGGGCTAAAGATCCACTTCTCTGCATCTTCCCATTTTGAAGGCAAAACACGGCCATTGTTAAATGGAAGATAAGATCCGGCACCCATGTACCTCCTGCTGCTATTAGCAGGCAGAGGCACTCTTTCTGAGCTCCAACCCTTCTGGTACCCAATTGTTCCTGTTCCGTGCCGGTAATTAGGCGTTCCAGGGCTTGGGAATGCTTCTGATCTACTGTGAGAGGAGGTGGCAGAGCTCTTCTTCATGGATCCCATGCCACTGGCCAAAAACCGAGGGGACAAGACAGCCACATCAGTGCTAGGGGTGTGAAGGTCAAGAGAAGCAGGCCTTTGCCTTCGAGTCTTCCTTCCCTGAATGGGGATGGCTTCAGATTTATGACGCCGAATCTGACATTCTAACAAACAGATGGATGAAGTACAAAACTCAGTGCAAATGAGAGATATTTGGATGAGGAAATGAGGGGTTTAAAATGGCTTTTACCTCTTAAGGCGTGCAAGAAGGAATGCTCTGTTGTGTTTAGGGCTCCGTACCCCTCCCCTTCACCATCTTCCTTCTTTAAAGCTCGCTCTAATTCCTCCACCGGGCCTGGGAGATTTTGAAAAGATGGGCATCTTAAAAAGTGACCTTTACAGAGCAGACATGACTGGCAGAGAAAGGACTGAAACAAAGACCAATTGTTCAATGCTTGCTAGTACCTGCAACAATACTGTGGGGCGAGGAAAGGATGGCGCCATTTTTCTCCGGATCTGGATCTGGGTCAGTGCCACTGGAGTAGCGCTCGCGTACTGCCAAATTCTGTAACAATCAAAGGAGAAATAAACATTTCATATCCTGAAGATGCCGACGAAAACAGCCAGCTACTGCAAAGGAAAAGCGATAATGGTTAGAAAAGAAGTTGCCGTGCTTCCCTCCAAACTCCTTTTTTTTTCCTATTCACCGTCGTCCACCTCACTCTTTCGTCTAATGTCTTTATTCGATCCGGTCATACCATGCATTATTAGTCAAGGATCAGTTACCTTTAAACTTTAACATTAAAGGAAATTGTGAAACCAACAGATCAACTGACCACCAGCCGCAAAATCCATATTTTTTTTATTGAAGCTTTCCCTTTCACACTAGATAGAAAAGAGAGGTTCAAGAGCGAGAATGAGAGAAAGAGTGAGCTCTGATCATACAATGCAGAGTTGTGGGAATTGCGATTCGTGCTCCGATCCAAAGGAGCAGCGCCCAGCAACGCTTCGGGACGTTGAGGAGAAGTTGCTGCCGCTGCTTAAATAAGCGGCGGTGGAACTGTTACCGCTGCCATTGGTGGCTCTGTGATCACACGAGTAGGCAATAACAGAGTCGGGGCTCTCCGCCGAAGCTCGCCTTCTCCGGCCACCGGATTTCCGCTGCGTCCAATTCTTTCCCTCTCTTTGCTCTCCGGCTTCCACTTTAGCAAAATCTGCAGCGGCCATTCTCGACTTCAGTGCATTTCTTCCTGTAAGGTTGTTAGTAGAGGGATTGAAAATTTTTCTAGGTGATCATTGCGGCGGATTGGAAGCAAAATTAATACTTTTTAGAAGTGGTTCTTTTGTAAAATTGTTCATAATTGTTACTACTTAGTGTTTACTCTCCATGGTCATCTGCATTAACTGTCTGGGGACATCGGCTGATTACCATCAATGGCTCATGTCCACCTTTAGGGGAAATTATTGGGACAGGTCACCGGATGTGCTCGAAGTCCAATGAAAATGCGCTACATCATCTCCTACTCGGTACTGAGCAGTACCAAACAGTACCGAGCTCGGTACTTCTCAGTACTACTCGGTACTCAGTACTTCACAGTGTCGTGCTCAATACTGCTCAGTACTGTGAATACCGAACGTAAGTTGTGTCTGGTGACTTGACCCAATAATTTCCCCATCTTTAGAGCTGCAAGAGAACTAAACGTCGGACAAATTGCCAGTTCGATTAATGCTTATTTGTGATCGTTTAATTAACTAAAATAAATTTAAACAATATTTTAAATACTCGATCCTTAAATAAACAAGTTTGAACACTAATGTGTTTAGCTCATTTATGTTTGTAAATAACATCATTTAAAGCTGAACAAGCTCGATATTAAGCTCAATAAAAGCTAGATTCGTATTAGATTCAAAACTCGTGAATAAGCTCAATAAAAACTGAATTAATATTTGATTATAGAATTAATAAATAAACATAATATAAAAATTTTATATTTATTATAATATATTGATATAAGTATTGTTAAATGTTAAAATTTAAAGTAATTAAATATTATAACATATGCTAACTAAAATAAAATTTGCATATTTATTAAATTTTATTGAATAGGAAAGACAAGAAGTGCGGCAAACGCTGAACCCTTCCCTTGTCATTTTCCCTTGCCATTTTTCCCTTGCCATTTTTCCCTTGTTTAAAAAAAATCTCTAAATATGTTCACGAACATGCTATATATAATTGTTTGTTATGAGGCTCCATAAAAGCTCGTTTGTTAAGTTAATGAGCATCTAGAAGTAGAGCTCATTTATAGCTCGTTAAGGTTTGTTTGTTTAAAGCTCAATAAACACTAAACAAATTGAACATGAATCGAACATGAACTAAACATAAACAATATTGATTTAAACAAATCAAACATGAACACAAATAATAAAGCTTGAATCAAACACAAACTAAACTTGAACAAACTGAACTCAAATGTGGACACTCTCATACTGGACTCTGCTTGACTCGTTTGTAGCCCTATCCACCTACATTTTGTTTTTCTTAAGATTTGCAAATATACCATGACTTATTCTTATAAATTTATCCATCCAATATTAAATTTTTACATTTATTTATATAAAGTTTTGCAATCTAAATCTTATTAAATATGTGCATGAAAGATAATATTTTCACTCTTATTGCATGCTAGAATTGGGGAAATTTTTAAACAACCTCATATTAATTCTTTTATTGTATTCGGCATGTTAAAAAAAAAAATTAAGAGTAAACAAAGTCGTTTGTTTAACGGGTGACTTGCTCCTAAATATATATATTTTTAATTATTTGTCTTATTGTTTTTGTGGTGAGCTATACAACATAGTGCATGATCCAAATATTATGTTATAAAGGAAGTTTTAATAGGAAAACTTTTTTTTTTTTTTTTGCAAGTTTATGTAATTTAACTATTTGTGTAAGTTTGTCTAATTGATAGAAATTTTTACATTGTCCTGTCACATCAGGTGGGTTGTACATGAAAGACTAATAACTTCCATATGGTTGTAATATTTTATGAAAGACTAAAGAGTAAAGATTTGAAGCAGGCGAGTAAATTTTTAACTAAGCATAATTAAATTTTGTATTAAGAGTTTAAGCACATTTTAAAAAACTTTAGAACTAACCAAAATCACGCGTTTGACAGGTAATTAGCAGTTTACTAAGCTTTTTTCTTTTGGAAAAAATCTCACGGAAGGGGCCTACGCATTAAGATAGATAAAAAATACACGTCCTTAGAGACTTCAAAACTCACTAAAATACAATAATTGAAATAAAACAAAAAAGCCTCATGATCCAGCTAAAAAAGAAAAAGCAAAAGAAAGATCAACTCAAATGGAAACCAAAAATGAAGGAGACAGAAGAAAACACCAATAGCCTAGTAGACAACCATCACATCCAGAGTAAAAGTGACATCCAAATTCGAAGACCAACCCGCACAAACCAAAAGGAGAGATGAAAACCTCACCAACCATACAAAAAAGCTTCCAAAGCAGCAGCCATCAATCCAAAAAAAGCTATTTTTTGGATTTCCTTTTTCTACGATTGCCCATCCGAACGTTAGTACCTCGTATGCCACGATCCTGTTCAAACACTTCCTCTTCATCATCATCAGAAGGAGAAGATGAAGAACCTGCAAGCCAATAAATTTGCTCCTTAATATTTTCCCCCGATCTGACTCCCACATGGCAATGCAAGGCGTTAGCAGAAAGTAAAGCAACTGGAACATCAACAAGCTGTTCATTCACTCCCAATCCCACAGATAAAAATGACATAATCAGATCGGCAAGCATCACATGAGAAGTAACAGAAGGATCCAACTCACTACAATCAATGTTCACCACTCCTAAATTAACAACACAAAGTTCATTATCACCCACATTCATCAACGCATTACCAAAAGCACCTTGAGCCACATTAAATTCATTCGAATAAGGGTCAACGACCACAGCACAATGAGACATATTACATTCATGCAAAGAAGAATCAACAGCCACTGCCCTGATCATGTCGGGGACCAACGATTCATTTCCAACTAAAGAGGATTCAATGTCAATATCAACACGAGCAAAAAAAGGAGCAACCTCTCCAGACTGTAGGGGTAAAGCCTTCTCAGGGAAAACAACATCAACTATGGGGTTCTCACCCGAAGCAATAGGAACCGCAATAGCAACATTTATATCACCCCCATCCAAATCAAAACCAACCACATTAGGCATAGGAATATTAGCTAAAGGAGGATTAACAACTTTAGTAGCGATAGCCTCTTTAACATAAGGAACAATACCCAAATTCGGATATAGGGTCGGGCAACAATCCTTAGAATGACCCAAAGATTTACAATGAAAGCAATACAAAGTAAATTCATCCATTTTAACCGATTGAGCATAACAACAAGTCTCTAACCCAAGCCAAACTTGAGAAGCATAATGTTTCGTAACATCTAATTCCACTAATATGTGTGCCACAGAGGATCTTGAGCCATTAATAGTCACACTATCCGTGCGCAAAGGTCTACCAAAAAGGGACCCCAAACCATGCATAATTCGGGGGGAGAAAATATGAGGATGCATATAGGGAAAAAGAAACCCAAATGAGGACAATGGGAGATTCCACATTAATGTCAAAATGTGGAGTCCATTTTAAAAATTTCATGAAGCAGTTGCACTCGAAATAGAAGCGATGAGAGAAAACCCTACAATAATCTAAGTCATTAACAAGCTTAATCAACACATTTTCAGGATTCAGTAAAGTAACCGAAGAATCCCCAATAAGCTTTAGGTTAAAGAAAAAATTTCAAATTAAGTCAAGCTGAGGGCGTCGGCCGGGAAATTTTCTGACTAAAGCAAACTTGAAAGGCAAAGCAAGAGATGCCATTTCTACATCATAGATAAACAAAGCCGACAACTATGGTGAAAAGAAACTTTAAGCGGAGGAAAATTTGGTGAAGCCGACTCGCTGAATAAAACATATCTAAAAGATCTAGATTTAACTTCATCCAAGAAATCGGGGTCCATTAACCGATTCCAAGCTATAGGAATGGAAATGACAGAAAAACCAGCAAAGATTAGGGAAAAAATGTAACGCAACGACAGCGACAGACGGAAGAGGAAGCCCCAACAACCATCTTCTTCGCCTACCTCCCCGCATCTCAAGGGCGAGCAAACAAGGAGAGACCGAGAGAAGGAGTTCTCGACGTCGGATGCTTCTGGGGTTTGCGAACAAAGAAACCGGAGGAACACACAAGTCGTGACTAGACATTACTAAACCAGGTAGCCGTTACCCTCAGTAACTAACTATTCAAATAATTATTTAACATAACTCACCAACATAATAATATTCAATACTTACACTATATAACATTTTTAAAAAAGTAATCTTCAAATTGACCCATTTATCTAATTATGCAGCCATGTTTTGCCTTTAGTCAATATAGAATTAATTTTACTGCCATAATTTTAAAAATTAAATATTGTATAATAAGTGAAAATTAATAGAGTAGTGAGTTAGATGAATTTAGGAATATAGTTAACATATTTAGTGAGTATCAAGCCCAAGTGTAATGAGCCCTAGTCGATTGTTAGTGCTTGTTATTATACTATTATAAAGCCCTAGTTGATCTTTACTACATTCATTAGTATTGTGGGTAGTTATTGCAATACACATTAGAATCTGTGCAATCATTATTGATGGTATTGAATGTTGAAGTAATTGTGATAGGAATCATTTAAAAAATCTAACTTGAGCTGGAAAGTTGTGTTATTACATCATCAAGTCTTGTCTACATCATCTTTATTATCTTTGTCATTATATTTAACACATGAATCCAACACTCAGTACTTTAATATGTATTGGGAATTGAACATGAAGTGCTGAGCAACCAATATGTAGCTAGGTGCTCCCAAGCCCAAATCTGCAGCAAGTGTATGTACCCAGCTATGTTCACCCTAGTAGGCCTTATTATTTCAATCAACTCCCTATATAGGTGTGCCAGGACTGATCATCTAAGAGAGTACATACTAAAGATTCCAAAATCCTCCATGATAGTCATGTATTGCAAGTGTATCTCTGAACCTAGTGTATTGAGTATTAGGTGGCACCCCATGATGCACAAAATGTATGCCTTGAAATGCCTCCAAAAATTCATCTCATTCAATTCTAAATATGAATCATGCTAGAAAGTTCAACACCACCATATGAGTGGCATGCATGT